TGGGAAAAAACTTCCTGCCCAAACAAAGTTTTTTGTGATGGAGAATGGTTCCACAGGCTGCAGAGTCTCACCTCATAACTCATCCAAAATTATAATTTAAACATTGGAAAACCTTTATATTGATCACCTTGGCTTGAATATTATGGTTATGAAAAAAAACTAGGATTTCAAGCTTAAAAAAAGTGTATATTTTAACAAATTTTCTAGACCGTCCATTTAGCCTCAAACATAAGTGTTCAAATATCCGTAAGATTTTATCCTAATTTTTGAATTTCAAAATTTATTGTTTGTATTGGAAATTGATTTTAGAGCGATCATGAAGATTTTTGTTACCGAAATTGCTTTCCAGATGAGGATTTGAGTTGAAGTTTTAGTTGGTTTTTCATAAACCTAGGCCGTCCATAAATTTCATCTTTTTGTGATTTTCCTTGCCACGGTACCCAAATCATGCCTCAATTGGAAATGATTTTCGACCCAAACATTTTGATTTAATCCCATAACTTAATGGAAAATTGTTCAATGCAGGCTGGACCGCATTTCTACTTATGCGATCTAGAAAGTGTAAAGCATCCATTTTAAAGATAGATGCAAGTAGGTGTTCTATCTTAAAACAATAGAAACTATTAGTCCAAATGATTTTTTACCAAAATTATTATTTATAGTTTTTAAAATTCATTTATTTTTTCGATATTCACGAACTCCATGTTAGAGATTACGTGTCATTAAAAATTAAGTCTTAAAATCCATTTCAAGAGTAGATTTTATCAAGTGGCCCGCATTTCTACATATGCGGGCTTGGCCGCATAGAAACCGTGTCCATAACTTAATTCTACATTTTATTTGTTAACCCCTTATAAGCTTCTTCCATATAAAGAGGGGCCAATTGCTTCATTTTCAATTCGGCAGAGCTGACCGTGAAAGGATGGCGTCGTCTTCGAGCAAAGGAAGCTCAGACAAAAACCCTAAAAAGGCGAACCTCAACGATCAAAACTCCATGAAACACCTCCTCGATGAAACCGTAACCGAGGTAACAAAACCCTAACCCTAAAAGAGACAATTGTTTCAATTGTACAAGGCTCACAGCTATGGTTTGATCAGGTGTTGTATGGTTTTTTCTCAAGGAAACCCTGAATTTATAGTTTTGGAATTTTGATCTGGTGTTCACGTTAAAAGTATGATTCTTAGGGTTTTTGATGCTGTTTTTTTAAACTAGGTTGTTACGAGTAAGGGATATGCGGAGGACTTCACTCTGAGCAATACCAGACTGTTTATTGGCGTGATCATAATCGCCATAGCTCTTGCTGCTCAGTTTTATCCCAAGAAATTTCCTGAGAATAGGGATTTTCTCATTGCTTGTATTGCATTATATCCTTTCTGTATAATATGGTTTTCTGTATAATTTGGTTTTGTGGATCTGTGATTTGGTTTTGTGGATTTTTGGTTTTGTGGATTTTTGTTTAATTTTCTGCTTCGGTTGTGCTTGTTTTGGCGGTATAGTTCAGTGAATTATTTGAAACACCAAGACTGATACTAAAATATCAGTTGAGTACTCAATTTTGGGACTAATTTATGACTATTCTAATTACTAGATTTTTGGGAATCAATGAAATTTTGGAAAATTTTCATGGTGTCTTGTTCAAATTTCCATTTAAAATCAGTTACTGTTTTGATATTTTTCTCTTTATTCATAGATTTTTTTTTTCATTTTAGGCTAATCTCTGACAAAAATTGTCTGAATTTTGCTTAATCCTTATGGTGTTTTCCTTTGAAATTCCAAGGAAAAATGGAAAACCTATCTGTCAATTCTTTGTTTGCAATGTTTCTCAAAATTGTGGCTGAAATTGGTACTATAATTGGTGATTTGGTGTTTCGGCATCACCAAATTGCTGATAGTAAGAAATATATAAACGCTTACCATTTGGTTAAATATGCGTGCTTTGCTGAAGAAGTTCATTCCACAACCTTAACTCTGGCAAGTATGTGTTGTTCAACATATTGTTGCAGTTCTTCATGTACACAAAGGAGAAGAATGCATTTCTTTTCACTCATCCGCTCACCGTAAGTGTTTAATTTTTCTCTCATATGTTTTTTTCTCAACTTGTTCCCCCCAAAGTTGTCTGCGTTATTTGCTGCAACAGGCCACTGATAAAATACAGTTTCTGTGCAATCTCATGCCGTGTTTTGAACTTTAGAGTTTGGACATAGACCCAATAATTTCTCACAATATGCATCATGATTATAAAAAATAAATCTAATTAGAAAAAGATTGTAAAAAAAAGAGCAAAATTTATCAAAATCTAAGAGATAAACTATTTAATATTTTAACCATAGACTTGGATTTAATTTAAAAAATCCCATCAAAATACACGTGATCATGAGTTGGAATAGTTGAAAATGGGTACAATGTTGTATAGTTGTCAAGTTAGTAAATTTTGATAAAATTTCCCTAAACAAAATTCACCCTCCTTAAGAATTTCAGTTGTTCTGCACAGTAAGGAGATGCAATCTACCTCTTTTACCAAATTCCAAGTTCTCATCTACTGTGTTTACTTGTGTGGGAGGTGTTCGTTTTGTACTGCTTTCTTTATATGGGTTTATTGCCTGAATCTACTTTTGCTACCTTATCAAGACAGGCATTATTATAGAAAGCGTGTTACTGATTTTTGTCCTACAGAGTTGAAGGTGCAAAATATGATTGCCAATGTTTGCCACTATTGCATACTGATATTGTCTAGAGAACTATACTATTAATGTTTATGCAGATGGTGCATGTGACTTGCGGCACTTGCCTTACTAAGAATAGGGTTGATGCTCAGTAAATTTCTTTAATGATTTGGTGCTGGTTTGTGTATCGTTGTAGTGTATTTTGTTGTAATTGCTAGCCGTGGTTTGGTGGTCGTCAATGTTGTGGGTCTTTGGATTTGTCTTCCTTCCCAATATGAATGATGGGGAGGCTTCAATAATCTCGAGCACCGCCATCTCGATCAACGTTAGGCTGATTGCCATAACGTTTGGGAATGAATCTGTTGGTTGGGTAACATGGGCAGCCTCTTCTAACCCAAATATCCAGGCTAGTTAATCTCTTGTGCTTATCCCACCCTATTGCTAGTCCTTCAGGCTCTTATGTCTTACCACCATCATCTCTATCAGTGGCCACATCATCATAATCATTGCCTCCACACATCCCCTTTGCGTCTCAACTCGTGCTCCACCCTCAACTTGTGCCTCTTTATTCCTACTAGCATCTTCATTGTCGATGGGGCCCATATTTTCTTCCTGTAGCCTCTTATTGAGAAAGGCCCCCATTTCCATTAACTACTCTTGAGTTGATTTTTCTGGTAATGTCTGATCCAAGTTTATAGGACATAGTCCACACTTCTTTCCTCAACTGCTTCTTTTGTAGTGGATGTAGACCGACTTCTGAAGCCTGGAAACACCCGACTTGTTCCTCCTTGTCGTGTGCATCTATTGGAATGTGCTCTAGTAGTTCAGTTTTGTTCAGAACTTTTGTGGAATTGGTTTAACCGAGCACCTTGGTTACAATACTTTGTAGGTAAGGAGCTCTAGCGTCCATGTAGCTCCATCCACTTTGCAAAAAAATGAGAATCGATAAAGGACTAGAAAACTCATAAGAAAGTTTTCAAATGATAATAAATAATATACAGTTGCATAGGGAAGATCCAGCTGAGTGCAAGATTTCCTTAGAAGGTTATTCGCAAATTTCCCGATGTGCATAGAAAGCTAAGGACATAGGGGGATGCACTCTTAGTTTGTTCGGGAGTAGGAGTTTTATGGAGACGGTGGGGGGCAATGAGTACAGGGTTAGGGGGTAAGAGCACAATCTGGGGGGTGAAGAGCACAAGGTAGACTTTCTCAGCCCACTCAACCCACCAAACCACATAGGTTGTTGGTGTCATATTGATCCTTACCTTACCTAGCCTTCAATTAGAGGATATGAACATCCGGGCCAGAGCCTTCATTAGAGCATATAAGAATCAGGACCAACTTCTATTAAAAAAAAAGAAAAGCCAGTGTGTGATGAAAGTGGTTGTTAAATGGTTTTATGATATTGCCATCCCTTTTGTTGTAGCCAGCAATGTGCACTATATTATTATGGTCTCGTGTATGGCTAAAGCAAAGTTCGAGTAAAGGCCCACACAGCCTATGAGCATAATAGGCCTTGCTTAGATGAGGAGGTTATTGAGGGGGCAGTTTATAGTATAAGGCAATGTGGAAGAGAATTGGGCTCACAGTCATGTATGATGGATGGAGGGATAAGAAGGGAAACATTCCTTAATTTTCTGTGGTGTTTGGAAGCTCAAGTAGGTGAAAGGGTTTGTCAATAATGGGGGAGATGATCACGAAATTTATATACTACTCCTTGGTCTTAGCTTTGACGAGGCAGTTCACTAATGGGAGGAATCTGATTAGTCCAAGCATCACAAGGTTTGCTACTTCATTCTTGTCTATGAACTCCATATTGAAGGTCATAATCAATGCTTCAGCAATTGGTTGCCTCGTAACCTTGGGTAAATACTCATTTTTCAAGGACCTAGGCTGCAAGGGAAGTTCAAGTGATAATCATGACTTCATGATCAAGAGTTTCGGGACAGTTGTGAGCAAATACTTTCAGCGAGACAGCCTCAGCTCCACTAGTGGCAGCATTTATGAGAGCTTTACATAAATCATCTTGTTACTTCAATTCTTCCTGCTGGTTGATTCTTTAGGTTAGTGAGACTGAGAAGCTTTTGTGGCTTCTATTGATATACATAGAGCAAAGCATTGATATGTGTTGCCGCTTCCTTTGTTCTTAAATGAAGTGGTTCTTAATGGTTTGAAAGGGTGCCTGCAACCTAATGGGGAAGATCTATTGAGATTTCCAATATACCTTTGGAAGAGCTCCAAAATACAGCATGGACTAGATCACCTGTTCTTAGGGTTCTGGTTGGCTAGGAAACTAGTTGTTAATTGAGGATTCTGTTTGAAGTTGCTGTTTTTAGTGTTGTTTTAAGTGGACCACATGGAGGGCTGTGTAAACTGAAATGTGATAAAGATGTTTTTAGAAAATGAATTCTCGGCATGTATTGCTCTATAAATTCTTAGCTTGTATCAATCATGGTGAAGTTTTTCTCATCTTGAATGGTAGCTTTTATTGTTTACACCTTATTTCTGAGCTAACTGGACATAAAAAGCATTGTTTCTTAGATTTGATATCACAAAGCAGTCTTGATTAAAAGGGATTACACAAGTGGTGCATCGTGATTGTGTCCAAGCTGACATTTGCTGGTTTCCTGGTGTGGTCTTTACAATTGTATGAGATGTGACTAGTTGATGGGAGACGGATCCTGAAAAATATTAGATGCTCATGTGATCTCAAGTTTTGAATACTGCTTCACTGTGGAGCTGGAGGATTCTTTTCTTGCTTCTCTTAGTTTAGCATGTAAGCTGGGTGTAAACTGGTGACTCTAATATTGCTTCCATAAATGCCTTACCAATTGAGTTATGGTCCTTGAACCCATTAATTGGAGGATTCTCTCTCTCTCTAAGGGGTCTTATTTTTGATAGATTAAGTGCAACAGAAATGGGAAGTAGCCTACTAAGTGTTGATGGTTTGAGGAACTGTGCCAAAATAGCATAAATAACTAAGGGGAAGGGAAATCCTGAGCAGTCGATCTCTCCTTAACAACCTGATGCAGTCGAAAGGATCGCGCTCAACTATCTGGCATGATCGGATCTGGCGCGATTGGTTCGCGGTCGAAAGAACTAGCATTAAATTAGCAATTTATTTTATTTTATTCAATTTTTTATTTTTTTCTTGTTATTTTTTTTAAAACAAGCCTTATTTTAGGTAGGTCCGTTATTTTTCTTGCTTTACATGAGGTTTACAAGAGATAAGCCTTCACATTTTTTAGTACGTTTTTTTTTAAGTGGGATAAGTCCTTTTTTTTATATGAGTTAGTTTAGGAAAAATTTGTGTTTTTCTTTAGAAGCTTGGTCCTATGTGATGAGGATGTGCAAACTTGGTCCTTGTTAGACATTGCTTATTGTTTGAAGATAAGGGTAGGTTTTTAAAGAGTAATCCTTTGGAGGAAGGAAAGTAATAAAAATAAGGAGGCGTGCAACGTAAACATAAGTTTTAGACGTGAATAAAATTGAGACGCCCTTTTACTGTACGTGTAAAAGTTAGAGAGAGAGAGAGAGAGAGAGAGAAACCTTATTCGTGGGTGTTTTTTCTTTCCCTCTCTTGTGTTTGTGGGTACTTAGCGGAGAACTCGGATGCTCATTTTTTTATCTTTTTGCTGATTTCTTCTTAACCTTTTGTTTCTCTCTCTAAAACGCGGCTGTTTTAGCCGGGTGTTAGCCACCGGTAATTTCCGTCTGCGTCCCAACCCTATGACGAGCAACATCACCATTATAAAAGCATGTGGAATGGTCTTTCCAGTAGTTGCCATTGCACATTTTTTGGTTTTAGCCGTTGGTTTTTTTGATGTCATTTTCATCACTAATATGATTATTCGAGTGTTGATTTATGGTAATGTGAATTGGGATTTGAGTGTTGCATATGATATGGATTCACATTCACCTTTATTTCAGAACTTATTACATAAACATATGAAACTGAGCCAAAAAAAAAATAATGCATGGGAAATTTGTGACTGCTTGTGGTTTATCTAGCTACTGCTGCTACTGCTGCGACTAACGTATATTCGTCTTATGGGATTGTATATTATATTGCTCTCTATTTGCTTTTTGGTATAAAGAGATCACAAGGAGATGTGTGTTTTCTCTGCACAAGGTCCAACAAACACGTACTTTAGGCAGGGTCAATTGCACACCCCCAGCTGCCCGATTTCACATTCGATGGCCAAGAGTGATTGTGAACTTTTTGTACCAAAGATAAACAGTATTATTTATATTTTCCTTCTGTTATTGCCATGTTGCTGCTATCATTATCTTTCGTATTTTATGTTACTATTTTATATGGGTAAGCTGTGATTTGAACCTTTGAATGTGACGTAAGTTATTTGAAATTTATGTCTAACTAATACCAGATACCATGCCCCATTAGTTTTTTACCATTATCACTAGATGGATACTATCCAACTAATTAATGATTGCCCAATCGTCATTGTTCTTATTTGTAAAATATAGGGATCATACAATAGCACAGGTTTGATGATCTCCTCCAAGCTGCCAAGGTTTTCTGACGAGTACACGCTCACCATAGCTAGCTCTGATCCAAAGTCCATCGCTGCAAACAAGCCAGTAAAACTCTCTAAGAGTGTCACTAAATGGTATAATATATCTCTATTTAAGTATTCACAATCTCATGCAGGCTTGATAGGGGCTGGGTGGCCAGGCCAGACCGGCTAGGTTTAAATTCAGTCCTGTGCCAACATATATATGTGGCTTGTAGGGCTGGATCAGGGTCAAGGCTTTGCTTTGTAGAGCAGGACCAAGGCAGGGCTGGCTTGGCCTGGCCTGGCCTGGCCATTGCAAGGCCTACTTTTTTCCCAATAAAATGCTAGAGTCCACTGACTATGGAAAGAACATACATTGGGTCACCACTGTCTGATAAAATGGATGTTGGAGAGAAGGCAATGCCCACCTTTCAGGTCAATGTCTGTGCTGGTGGGTCTCTCTCTCTCTCTCTCTCTCTCCATCGATGACTTCATCAGATGATGATGATCCCAAAGGGCTATGTTCTCCAACTATAATATATGCTTTCGTTGTTCTTTCCATGGCATATTTTCACTTAGAAGCATAACATACACTATTTGTGTGTTGTAGACATTTGGTATGTGGTACTCCAAAGGGCATCTGCTGCCCATTTCTGATGACCGACAGTGCAGATTGGATTTGAGCCCCACCACGATTAATTTCTACCCATTGGGTATTAGGAACACATAGGGTGCCCTTTAGATCTAAAATCTCACCAGCCATTTTTATTTTAAAATCCAACCATCCCCTCTTTCCAATGGTGTGTGGATTTGTCGCACTTGAAAGGCCAATTTTGAGGTGTTCTGACACTCGTGTGTGTTGGGCCCTGATACACTATCTGCATCTATGTCACAGCCTTTAAAATAGCCTATCAAGGGCCATGGGCTTAAGAGATATTGCACATATATCTTGCAGGTTCACAAAGGATGGGATTTTGGTGGAAGGGCTTTTTTGGAACGATGTATCGAAGCTGATCGATGACTATGCAGACGATAGGAAGAACCACTAAGTGCAGCTGGTTCATGGTTAAGGCTTTAGACTTTTGGCCAGTGGAGAAGGACCATATTTTACTTGGTCAAGGAAGAGAACATTCATACAAACATTTCTAACGAGGTTTTTGACCCTCAAAAGGTCTTATATATTTGAGAACTCTCTCTCTCTCTCTCTCTCTCTCTCTCTTCTATCTCTTCTCTCTCTCTCTCTCTCTCTCTCTCTCGTACGTCTCACTCGTCACTATACGTACGTCGTAACGT